TGCCGCACAATTAGAAAGTTCTCTTCCGCAGCGATTTTTAATTTGTACTTCTTCTACCCATTAGTCCTAGCTCTGCCCTTTGAAGATGTACGAAATAAACTCACGTTTCTCTTCTCTGCACACAGCTATCAGATGGCCCTGTCTTCTTTCCTCAGGCAAATGACTGGAACACTTGTGCGGTTTCTCTGAGCTGAGCGTCCAGTCCCATCACCAGCCAGGTGTATCTCATCGGGTGTGCCAGGTCACTGAGATCCCTTGTGCTGTGCCCCACCGGGACCATCCAACACTCTCTGGAAGGGAAGGAAGTCTGCTTCTTCAAGGGCCCACATCACGGATATGGCCTGGGGCTCAATAGCTGGTGGGACAGCTTCAGCCTACTTTTAATGCCTGTGTCCCCACTGTCAACCCAAATGTTCACTTTTTAAAATTGTGGTAAAATACAAGTAACATAAAATTTACCATCTTAGTCATTTTTAAGGGTACAGTTCAGTGGCATTGAGTACATTCATATTGTTGTGAAATCATCATCACCACCCATCCCCTGAACTTTTTCACCTTGCAAAACTGAAAATCGGTGCCCATTAAACAATAACTCCCCCTCCCCCTCCCAGCCCCTGGCAGCCACCATCCATTCTACTTTCCGTCTCTATGACTTTGACTCCTCTAGGGACCTCATATAAGTGGACTTGTCCTTTTGTGACTGGTTTAGTTTACTTAACACCTTGCTGCCTGGCTATTTCAAGCCAGAGCTCGCCCATACAGCCAACTACTTTGGTCAGCAAGGTATTTAAAATTACTTAAATTAATGTAAATACAGACAGGAGTTACCTCGTGACCGGTTAGCAACTTTTGGACACAGAAACACGTGTATAGTAGTGACTGGTCAGCAAGGCGTTTAACATGTCTTCAAAGTTTATTCATATAGTAGCATGTGTCAGAATTTCATTCCTTTTTAAGGCTGAAAAATATTCCATTTTGCTTATCCATTCATCCACTGATAGACACTTGGGTTGTCTCCACCCCTCGGCTACTGTGAACGCTGCTGCTGTGAACACAGGTGTGTGAATACCTCTTTGAGCTCCTGCTTTCAGTGCTGTGGGGTATGTGCCCAGGAGTGGAATTACAAACACTGGTGTTCTGTACCTGCTGCTCACTGACTGCGTTTCCCCAATGCTGTGTTTGTGAATTTCACTTTGTGATCCCAAGTGAGTCTTTCCTGTAGAACTACCACCTCTACAACACTGTTCCCATAGCTCACCCTGTTAATTAAACCCATTTACATGAACAGTTTCCATTTATATCTAATTACCATACAGCACAACAGTGATCCATTTACATCATTAGATCTGTGTCAGTTTAACTTGCAAGACCCTGTGCCAAGCATAAGGTTTGTTTCTCACAGAGCTTGGTCACGTGTCTCCAAATGATGCCAAGTAAGGAAAGCAGCCCGTCAGGTACCAGGCTGCCTCTCCCCCACCCTGGCTCCCCTCTCGTGAACCTCTGCACTTGGCTCTGAGCTCTCTTCCATAGCCCCATGTTTCCTGAGAAATGCTGGGGAAAGCCTCTGGGACGCTGGGGTGGTGTGGCAGGATGTCAGCTCCAGCTCGTATGTCCCCTGGAGGAGGCCAAGAGGGAAGGCCAAGAAGAAAAACTCCTAATGTCACTAAGACTGCTAACTGTCCAGAGCTGGGGGCTGGCAAGGGAAGCAAGACAGCCCACTTCCACGGTGGCGATTCCTTCAGAAGTCCTCGCACCCCTCAGCCTACCCACCTCCAGATCTTGCCCTGCAGGGGCAGGACCTAGGTTCCTACCAGCTTCTATCTGGAGTCTAAGGGTAACATGACTTTAAAGTATTTGGAATTCCTGGCCTAGTTGCAGTGCAAAACTGGCCAAGAGCAGAGAACCAAGAGACAGCATGGCCAAGTCTTCTGTAGAAAACACCTAATATGATGTTTAAAGTTCAGCAGAGTCCAGGTACATGCTGTTCAATTATCCATCATTACATAAAGAGCCACCTCAAACTTAACAGCTGAAAATGACAACCGTCTCATATGGCAGCATTCAAGTGAAGGTCAGCTGGGAGATTCTTCTGTCCCAGGGCACTGGCAGAGGCCCCATGGTGGTGTGCAGCAGGTGGGTGGCTTGGTCTGGAAGGCTGAAGACGTCCAGGGCCTCAGTGGGGATGGTCAGAAGGCTGGGACTGTCACCTGGAACACCTCTACGTGGCCTCTCGAGCAGCACAGGCCACCTTGATCACCTCAAGGTAAGTGGAGATTGTAGTGACCTTTCAGCAGCTGCTGGCCTTCCACGATTGAGCCTTGAAATCACCGAGTGTCAGGGCTGACATACTCTGCTGGTTGACACAGTCACAAGGCCAGTTTCAAGGGTAGCAAACATAAACCCTACCTTTTTGTTGTTGTTGTGTCTTTATTGATTTCAGAGAGAGGAAGGGAGAGGGAGAGAGAGATAGAAACATCAATGATGAGTGAGTCATTGATCGCCTGCCTCCTGCATGCCCCCGACTAGGGATCGAGCCCACAACTCGGGCATGTGGCCTGACCAGGAATCGAACTGCGATTCCTAGGTCAATGCTCAACCGCTGAGCCATGCCGGCCGGGCCACAAACCCTACCTTTTGATGAGAACAGGGTCAAAGACTCTGCAACTGTGTTTTAAAGCTGCCATATATGTGTATGTATATTGAGTCATGATGATAAAACCACACCTGTGCGTGCATCTGTTAACCACACGTACCTACAAACTGGTCTTCAAAGGGTCATATGGTGTGGGAAGAGGAAGTAGCCACATTCCCTTGGGGCACGAGAGGTGCTGAGGGTGAGGTATGGCATCCAAGCGGGCCCTCAAGGACAGGTACTGCATCACAGATGGAGATGGAACAGGGACCGCCCAGAGGTGAGCAAAGACAGCGAGGCACACAAGGCCACGGGCAGGAAAGGCACATGAGAGCCAGAGCCATGTGCCGGAGGAGTCGGCCTCAGCAGCACGTCACACTGGCAAAGATGGAGAAGTACAGGTAGGAGGAGCACGGCTTATAAAGCACTTACATGTAACACACACATATGTTTCATATGTGTAATAGATGCATATGTTGTTTAAGAAAAGTCTCGTCTATAAATCTTCGCCTCTGCCTCTCTGATGACTTTTTCTTAGGACGCACCAGAGAGTCAGAGAACAGGAACTCTTTCCAGGCTCTTGAAAGATACTGCAAAACTGCCTTTCCACAAAAGGCGCACCAATTGTCACTGTCGCCCACCATGGGGGGGCTCATTGACCCTCCTCCCCCTAAAAATAAACACCACTGGGCAGAGCTCAGTTTCTTCTGGTGGTGGCATGTTGGGATCCTTTTCACTCTTCATGTTTTAACCGGTTAGAGCTCAGAAATAGGGCCTTTCCAAAACGCTCCTTTACTTTCAGGTCCTTTTTGTGGGGTGGGGGCGGGAGAGGGGAGGAGACTTCTAGCAGAAGCCTAGGTGCCGAGGCTGGGCCCGGCTCACTGGTACGCACTGCGCAGCCCTGGGGCAGTAACACAGGTGGGAAGCACCCCGGCGCTCACTATTTGGCAACAGCGACTTTGAAGACGAAGAAACAGGCGGAAAACTGGTGTCGCTGGGACCGGGGGCTTGGACCGCAGTGCGTAGCCCGTGAGTGTCACAAATGCACAGACACACACTCTTGTCTGCGTGCAGAGACGCTCTCACACTCTCACACCCTCACACACGCGCGTGTACACACTCGCACACACAGACACGCACACACGGACACACTGTCACACATGCGCGTGCACACACTCACAGACACACACATGCGTGTGCACATACACACACACACACACACACCCCCGCCGCGGTTCGCTTACTGAACCAGGCGGGAGCAAGAGGAGCCTGTGCTCCGGCCAAGTTTGTGCCGGGTCCCCAGGGACGCCTGGGTTACCTGAGCCTGCACCACGTCAGCGCCACTTCATCGCCGCTGGGTGTCGTGCAGGAAACAGGAGGAAAAAAAGGAAAAAACCTC